CTGGCGTTGTAATTCAGCCACTCTTACAATAAGACTCCGGGTTTGGTTTTCAGCCACTTCAGCTCTGTTACTACAAGAAATAAGGCTTTCTTTCAAAACACAAGTGGAAGCCTTGAGGTCGTCTATGCGGCGCTTGAGCCTTGACTCTGAATCCCTGAGCGCATCTCTTTCCTTCACCAGTTTGTCTAGTGAAAGTAGGACAAACCAACCAGCTTCCTTATACTTCTCATTCTGACAAAGCTGTAGAAAAATATCATACATGTGATCACCCTGAGCCTCGTCTTTCACCAATACCTGATCTACTGCTGGCGATATTTTGTGTATTTGTATCACCACCTCGCTCCATGGACTAGCAATGACCTCTTTACTGCTGGAAGCAGAGTCATCAATGTCTTTAAGACTAACCAGACTTGAGAACCAATTTAGAAAACTCAACCTTACAATTTTGTTTCTCTAGAACCACTCTCAGTACCAAAATGTGTTAGGCTGGGTTCTCTAGAGAAGCAAAACCAGTAAAGTGTATAAATATTTATATATGGAGAGATTTATATCAAGGAAACAGCTCACGCGATAGTAGAGGCTAGGACGTCCCAAGTCCGTGGATCAGGGTAGAGGCCTCTCCCAAGTCACGTAGCCGCAGAAGCTGGGAAGCCCAAGATTGGCAGGTCAGAGAGCAGGGCTCCCACTCACAGGCTGTGCACGTTGATGAATTCCACGTTTGGCAGATAAGCTGACAGCTCAAGTCCCAAGAACTGGAGATGAGGCCACAGGAGGCAGCTGCAGGATCCAGAGAGAACAAAAAGCTGGAACGTCTGCTTATATTCAGATGTGGGCCACACCCCCAAGGAGACTCCCTTTCATCTGATTGGCTGTTCACAGTATATTCAATTATGGGAATGATTACATTAAAACACAGAATCATGACCCAGCCAAGTTGACACAGTCTCAACCATCACACTTGTCTTAGTTATCTAGTGCCACTATAACAGAAATAGCACAAATGGATGGCTTTAACAAAGATAAATTTATTCTCTCACAGATTAGGAGGCTGTAAGTCCAAATTCAGGGCACCAGCTCCAGGGGACAACTTTCTGTCTGTCAACTCTGAAGGAAGCTCCTCGTCATCAGTCTTCTCCTGGTCTAGGAGCTTCTCAGAACAGGGTCCCCAGGTCTAAAGGACACACTCTGCTCCTGGCTCTTCTTGGTTGGTGGTAATTAGTTCCCTCTCATCTCTACTCGCTTCTCTCTTTTATATCTTAAAAGAGATTGACTCCAGATACATCCTAATCTTGTAGATTGTGTCCTGCCTCATTAACATAACTGCCTCTAATCCTGCCTCATTAACATCATAGAGGTCAGGATTAATATCACATAGAATAATTACATCAGATCACAAAATGGAGGATACCGACTCAATACTGGGAATTGTGACTTGGCCAAGTTAACATCCATTTTGGGGGGACACAATTCAATCCATAACGTTCCACCTTTATGCCTCCAAAAATTCATGTTCTTTCCATGCATGAAACACATTTACCCCATCATATCATCCGAAAAATCTTAACTCCAAGTGCAAACTCCATCCTGTGGCAAAATTCCTCTCCATCTGTGAAATTTAGAATGCAAGTTGTCTGCTTCCCTAAATACAGTGGTGGAACAGGCAGAAAGTAGACATGTCCATTACAAATGAGAGAAATTGGAAGGAAAGAAGAAATAACAGGTATCATGCAAATCCAAAACTCAACACAGTACATTAGCTCTGAAGGCTTGAAAATAATCCTCTCTTCTCTGAGACCATTTAGCCAATGGCCCTGCCCTCCAGACTCTGGGTGTTGCCCACGTTCTCTGGAGTCTGGGTGGAAGCCCCTCAGCCCTGGGCTTCATCTGTGCCTTCCAGGCCCACTGGAATGGCAACTCTGCTCCCTTGGATTTGGGCGACCCCATTTTCCTAGTCCATCTGAGTGGTAACTCTACCCCCTCAGCCCTAGCAGACCCTGTTCTTCTGCCCCATGTCAGCCCTGCCTCCTCAGCTTTGGAAAGCGAATCGGCCCCACCCCCTCTGGCACTCGTGAACAGCTGCCCCATAGTCTAGAATTGAGTTGTTGGAGATCTGACTCTTTAAAACCTAGGTTGTGGTTCCACCCTTTGAGACCCCAGAGGTTATTACCCCACCCTATGAGACTGAGGCAGCTCTGCTTCTTGTGCTTCTTGTCTCTTTAGCTTCCTTGGTCCTTGGTATCTTGGCCCTTTGGGCCTCTTGGGCCAGCCCGGCATCTGCCCTGCTCGGGCAAGTGTTACAAAGCTCTTTAACTCTACTGATAAGTGCCTGGAGGCACCCCTTTCTGCCAGTAAGCCTTCTGCCTGAAGGCACTCAGCTCTCTCTTGCTCCATGGGTCGGCAAGCCTAGCTCCACCAACACATGTCCAGAAGTGCCCTACTCCATCAGGAAGCATCCTGCCTGAAGGCATTCAGCTGTCTCACTCCGTGGGTCAGCTTCTATGTTGTCTTGTGTGGTTTCCTGGTTCTGCTGCTGCCATTTCTCTGCTGCTGCTTCTTGCAGCCTGTGTCATCTCTGGTATTACAGCTCTAGTCACTTCCTTCTGAGGCTGCACCAGAATTGCCTTTGACATCTGTAATTCCACCAACAGTCTCTTCAAGGCAATCTAGGCTTTTAGTATTAGGCACCTTAAAACTCTTGTAGCCCCTACCCCGTTCACAATTTCATAACCACTTCTACATTTTAGGTATTTGTTAGAGCAGCACCCTACTCCCAGCAACAAATTAGTTATCTAATGCTGCTGTAACGGAAATACTACCAGTGGATGTCTTAACAAAGAGAAATTTATTCTCTCATAGTTTTGGAGGCTGTAAGTCTGAATTCAGGGTGCCAGCTCCAGGGGAAAGCTTTTTCTCTGTCAACTCTGGGGGAAGGTCCTTGTCATCAGTCTTTCCCTGGTCTAGTTGCTTCTCAGCCTAGCAACCCTGAGTCCAAAGAATGTGCTCTGCTCCAGGCTCTTCTTGCTTTGTGGTAATGAGCTCCCTCTCCTTTATGCCTGCTTCTCTCTCTCATATCTCAAAAGAGATTGACTCAAGATACAACCTAATCCTGTAGATTGTGTCCTGCCTGATTAACATCGTAGAGGTTAGGATTTAGAGCACATAGGATAATTATATCAGATCACAAAATGGAGGACAACTACACAATACTGGGAATCATGGCCTAGCCCGTTGACATATTTTTGGGGGACACAGTTCAATCAATAACAATACCTAAGAGAAATGAAAACATATATTCACAGACCTGAATGGCCATAGTTTATGTTCATAATCAGTCAGCATTAATAATGGCCATAAAGTGGACAGAACCCAAATGTCCATCAACTTATGAATAAATAATAAAATGTAGTACATCTGTTTATACAGTGGAAAATTATGTGACCAAAAAAAGGACCAATGTGCTAATGCATGCTACAGCATGCATGAACCCTGAAAACATTATGCTAAGCATAAGTTCCAGTCACAATGGATCACGTATTGTGTGGTTCTATTTAAATGAAATATCTGAAGCAATTAAATCTCTAGAGACAGTAAATTAGTGGCTGACAAGGCTGGGGAGGTATGGGGTGGAATAGGAACTGGCTGCTAATGGATATGGGGTTTCTTTATGGGTTAAAGCAAATGTTCTAAAATTAGGTAGTTGTGATCATTGACAACTTGTTGAATATATTAAAAGCCAAATGATTTGTAGACTTTAAATTGGTGAATTGCATGATATGTTAATTTTATTGTTAATATGATGTTCTTAGAAAACATTGTAATAAGCATACAACTCATTCATCAAAAAAAAAAAAAAAAATATGGTATATCCACACTGTGAAACAGTTTTTAGAAAACTACAGCCTAAAGTAAAATCTGACCAGCAGCTTTTTTTTGTAAATAAAGTTTTATTGGAACATAGCCTGTCATGGTTTGAATTATGTCCCCCAAAAAATGTGTGTATCAATTCGGCTAGGCCATGATTCCTGGTACTGTGTGATTTGCCTGTATGTTGTAAACCTGCCTCTATGATGTTAATGAGGGAGGATGGGTGGTAGTTGTGTTAGTAAGGCAGCACCTGATCTACAAGACTGGATTGTGTCCTGAGGCAATCTTTTGAGATATAAAAGACAGAAATGAGCAGTGAGACGGAGTAGGGGGGGTACCTCATACCATTAAGAAAGCAGTGCCAGGAGCAGAGCGCGTCCTTTGGACCGGGGTCCCTGCGCAATGAAGCTCCTGGTCCGGGGCAACACTGAAGAGAAGAAGGCTGACAGAGACAAAAAGCCTTCCCCTGGAGCTGATGCCCTGAATGTGGACTTTTAGCCTACTTTGACTATGGGGAAATAAACTTCTCTTCATTAAAACCATCCACTTGTGGTATTTCTGTTGTAGCAGCACTAGATGACTAAGACACAGCCATACCCATTCATTTGCCTATCATTTATGGCTACTTCTGCAGAATTGAGTAGTAGTTACAGAGACCATCTGGCCTGCAAAATCTCAAATATCTACTATTTGGCCCTTTACAGAAAAGTTTGCTAACTCCTGCAATGAAATAATAACTAGCATTTAAAAGAAATGAGACAGATCTATGTATTTTGACATAAATAGATGTCACACATTGTGTTAAGTAAAAAAACTAAGTTGAGAACATTATATACAGTGATGTTATTTATGTGAAAAAGAAAACAAATCCAACCCACTAACAAAAATTGTAGAATTGAATAGGTATATGCAATATTGTATAAATGCACATAACAAGTTCTAGAAAGATATGCAGCAATCTAATAATATCTCTGGTGAGAGAACTAGATTTTTGGAGTTGTAATCAAGGTTTTCTCTACCTTATCTACATTATTTTATTGTTTCTATGAAGAAAATGAATTAATGTGCTACATAAATGACAATATCATAAATGAAAAATTACAGTACATTATAGAAATTTTTGTTTTGCTTTTCAGAGCTATAAATGATCAAGGTCTGTTAGAGGCTGTAAGTATAGCACTCTCAATTTGAAATTGCACTTTGCCCTTGATGGTCTTAATAAAACCCATTGCCATTGGTTTGATTCTGACTCATAGCAACCCTGTAGGACAGAGTAGAACTGCCCCATAGAGTTTCCAAGGAGCGCCTGGTGGATTCGAACTGCTGACCTTTTGGTTAGCAGCTGTAGCTCTTAACCACTATGCCACCAGGGTTTCCAAATAGGTTCTAGAAATTGTTAGGATACACAATCCTAAATAAAGATCTACTGCTTGCTCAGTTTATTCAAGAGATATCTATGCATATGTGACCATGAAAGCTATGTATGCTCATGCTTTTTTTGTTTGATTTTACTAAATCTTGTTATCACTCAGAAACCCTTCACTTATGAAATATTAAACTACAGTATCCCATTTTTTGATTAAAGTCTTTTAATCTTCCATTCATTGTCACTTCTATTTCCTGTACCTCTTTTAGCCCCAATTACAGTTTCACTGTACAGATTAATACCAATGGTTCATTATTTTCATGAGCTAATGAAAATTTTCTTAGTTTAATAATTAAATATCCAAATAACCTCTCTATATTGAGTTTTTTATTATTACTAAAATGATAATGTTTGTTTTTAGAAATACAATAAGATGCATAGTGATTTCCAGTTATTATCAGAGGAGAAATCAGTGCTGGAAAATGAGCTACAAAAGTTGAAGAATCCAGAGGTGTGCAAAATCTGTAGATAGCTTTGGGTAGTATTGACATTATAACAATATTAAGTTTTCCAATTTGTGAACTTGGGATGTCTTTTCATTTATTTAGACCTTCTTTAATATCTTTCAGCAGTGTCTTATAGCTGTCAGTGTACAAGTCTTTCACTTCCTTGATTAAATTTATTACTTTCTTCTTGTTATTAGGTGCCATTGAATTGGTTCCAACTCATAGCGACCCTGTAGGACAGAGTAGAACTGCCCCATAGGGTTTCCAAGGAGCAACTGACGGATTTGAACTGCCGAACTTTTGATTAGCAGCCAAGCTCTTAACCACTATACCGTCAGGACTCCGTTTTATTCCTAGCTCTTTTATTCTTTTAGGTGATATTGTAGATGGAATAGGTTTCTTAATTTTTTTTATTGTTCATTGTTAGTGTGTAGAAACAACTGATTTTTGTATGTTCATGTTGTACGCTGCATCATTGATGAATACATTTATTAGCTCTAGTGGTTATTTTTTAGGATTTTCTATATATAGGATTATGCCATCTGTGAATAAGGATAGTTTTCCTTCTTCCTTTCCAACTTGGGTGCCTTTTATTCCTTTTTCTTGCCTAATTTCTCTAGCTAGTACTTCCAGTACAAGACTGAATAGTGGTGGTGAAAGTGAGCACCCTTATCTTTTTCCTGACCTTTGGGGGAAAAGTTTCAGTCTTTTGTCATTAAGTATGATGTTAGCTGTTGGTTTTTCACAATGCCTTTTGTCATATTGAGGAATTTCCTTTCTGTTCCTAATTTTCTGAGTGTCTTCATCATGAAAGATTGTTGGATATTGTCAAATTTCTGTTTGCATCAATTGCGATGATCATGATTTTTTCCCCCTTTATTAATGTGATATAATACATGGATTTATTTTCTTCATAATGCATAATCCTTTTAATGCGATATTGGAATTCGTTTACTAGTATGTTGTTGAGGATTCTTTCAGCTATATTCATAAGGGATATTGGTTTGTAGTTTTCTTTTCTTGTGATGTCCTGATATGGTTTTATATCAGGGCAATGTTGTCCTCATAGAATGGAGAATGGCCTCATAGAATAGGAAGCGTTCCCTCCTATTATTTTGAAGAGTTTGAGAAGGAGTGGTGTTAATTCTTCTTTAAATTGATAGAATTCACCATATAAACAATCTGGTTCTGGACTTTTCTTTATTAGGAGGTTTTTATTATTGATTCAGTCTCATTACTTGTTTTAGGTTTGTTGAGTTTGTCTATTTTTTCTTGAGTCATTTTAGGTAATTTTTCCAATTCATCTATATGATCTAATTTGTTGGTGTGCAATTGTTTATAGTATGCTCTTACTGTCCTTTTTGTTTCTGTAAAGTTGGTATTAATGTCCCCTCTCTCATTTATGATTTTTGTTATTTACATCTTCTCTCATTTTTTTCTTTTTCATTCTACCTAAAAGTTTGGCAATTTTATTGATCTTTTCAAAAACCAACTTTTAGTCTTACTGACTCTATTGTTTTTCTATTCTCTATTTTATTTATGTTCACTCTAATCTTTATTGTTTTATTCTTTCTGGTAATGTTGGGCTTAGTTTGATCTTTTCTTTCTAGTTCATCAAGGTGTAAAGTTAGGTTATTGATTAGAGATCTTTCTTCCTTTTTAGTACAGATATTGTTCATTTTCATTTTTTCCCTCATTATTTTGGTGATTAGTGATTCCCAGTATGTATTAGATTTTTTTAAGTGTAAACATCTCCAAAAGCTTATATTTAAGCTAGAAAATTATTGGAGGACCTTAAAATTTCTATTAAAATTATTTTTATAGTAACTTCCATATTTTATAAGGAATTATTTCACTTTGTGTTTAACTTGGGAGAACTTTGCCTCTATATTGAATTTAATATCTGTTGGAAGTTGTGTTCTGTAAGGGAAATAACCATCGTCTACCTTAATAAAAAACAAAACACATTGCCATTGAGTCAGTTCCGACTTACGGCAACACCATGTGTGCCGAGTAGAACTGCATTACATAGGGTTTCTAAAGCTTTGATCTTTCGGAAGCAGATCGTCAAGCTTTTCTTCTGAGGTGCCTCTTGGTCAGTTCGAACTGCCAATCTTTTTTAATTTTTTTTATTGTACTTTAGATGGAGGTTTACAGAACAAATAGTTTCTCATTAAAAAGTCAGTACACATATTGTTTGATGACGTTGGTTAACAACCTCATGACATGTCAATACTCTCCCTTCTTGACCTTGGAGGACCTTTTTTTTTTCAGTGAAAATATACATAGCCAAAGATACACCATTTCAAAAATTTCTACATGTACAATTCAGTGACATCGATTACATTCTTACAGCTGTGCTGTTATTCTCACTATCCTTTTCCAAATTATTCCATCACTGTTATCTTCAACTCACTGCCCACTAGGCTTCCCATCAAACCTTTTGAGTTGCTGTTGTCAATTTGATATCACATAGATAATTCTTTTTTTTGTACCTTAGATGAAGGTTTACAGAAAAAATAGTTTCTCATTAAACAGTTAGTACACGTATTGCCTTACGACAATGGTTAACAACTCCACAACATGTCAACACTGTCCCTTCTCAACCTTGGGTTCCCTATCACCAGCTTTGCTGTCCCCTCCTGCCTTGTAGTCCTTGTCCCTGGATTGCTGTGCCTCATTAGTCCCATTTTGTTTTATGGGGCTGTCTAATCTTTGGCTGAACGGTGAACCTTGGGAGTGACTTCACCACTGAGCTAAAAGGGTGTTAGGGGCCATACTCTCGGGTTTTCTCCAGTCTGTCAGGCCAGTAAATCTGGTCTTTTTTATGAGTTAGGATTTTGTTCTACATCCTTCTCCAGCTCTGTCCAGGACCCTCTGTTGTGATCCTGGTCAGAGCAGTCGGTGGTAGCAAGGCACCATCTAGCTATACTGGACTCTAGCTGTGGTCCATTAATCCTTTGGACTAATCTTTTTCTTGTATCCTGTTCTCTTCATTCTCCGTTGTTCCCATAGAGGTGAAACCAGTGGAGTATCTTAGATGGCAGCTCACAGGCTTTTAAGACCCCACACGCTACTCACCAAGGTAGAATGTAGAACATTGTCTTTATAAACTGTGTTATGCCAGTTGAGCTAGATGTTCCATGAGACCATGGTCCCATAGCCCTCTGCCCAGCAATTCAGTCCTTCAGGGAGTGTGGATGTGTCTATGGAGCTTCCATGACCTTTCCTTGTACAAGTTGTGCTGGCTTCCCCAGGATTGTGTACTGTCTTACCCTTCACCAAAGTTACCACTTATCTATTGTCTGTTTAGTTCCCCCTCCGCCCCTCCCATCCCTGATAACCAACAAAGATTGTTTCTTTTTGTGTGTAAACTTTTTCGTGAGTTTTTACAGTAAAGGTCTCATACAATATTTGTCCTTTTGTGATTGATTTATTTCACTCAGCATAATGTCCTCCAGTTTCATCCATGTTATGAGATGCTTCACAGATTCATCATTGTTCTTTATTGTTGCATAGTACTCCATTGTGTGTATGTACCATAGTTTGTTTATCCATTCATCTGTTGATGGGCATCTAGGGTGTTTCCATCTTTTTGCTATTGTGAACAGTGCTGCAGTGAACATGGGTGTGCGTATGTCTGTTCATGTGACAGCTCTTATTTCTCTAGGATATATTCCTACGTGTGGGATTGCTGGATCGTATGGTCTTTCTATTTCTAGCTTTCTAAGGAAACACCATATCATTTTCCAAAATGGTTGTATCATTCAAACTGTCAGTCTTTTGGTTAGTAGTGAAGTGCTTAACTGTTTCCCCCATGCCTTAATAGGTCTCTATTATTCAGCTAATGAAAAATTTTCAATAACTTTAGGTGTTAAACTTTTTCTCTGCTTTCTTATATAAAATAATCTACTACTGCATAGTAATTCAAGAATACTTTAAAACATGGTCAGTTCTGCTGTAATAATAGTTTTGAAATGTGAATTTATTCCAACAAAATTAGTATATTAGAGAACAATTTGAGCATAAATGTAAATTTCACATGTACTTATGCATGATTTCATCTGTGAGAAACACTAGAAAATGGCCCCCAGCTGAATAGAGCCATGTAGGAATACATAAAACACATGCGTGCACATACCTCCAGCATCTACCAGCTACCTCAGTTCATCGTGCATATAGTATGCCATACTAGTCCACATCTGGTGTTGCATCTTTTCATCTGATTTCAGACACTTCATCTTCCACCACTTCACAATAACTTACAAGTTGCAACCTATTTGACAGTCACTTCTACAAGTAAGCTTCAAGTCTTTTTCAAGATAAAGGGCTATATTTATCGTAATAGTTATGTATTTCTTTGTCATTTAACAAGTGTAAAGCTGTACTGCTGTTTAAATTAGGTTTCTTTTTGTTTAAATATGTCGCTGACAGAGTAGTGTGCATCTAACCCTGTTTTTCTCATATCCTGCAGTTTTTATTTTGTGATTTTGCATAATGCATTGAGTTTTAAGAATGCACATGCCAATTTATGGCACAACTGACTGTAAGTTGTCAGGGGAATTGAATTGCTTTGATATTTATTAGCTTATATGCAACTTATATTTAGTAAAACATTCTTACAAATATTCTGGCTGGATCATTGATTTCTTTTGGTTCTATTCAAACATTTTTCCTTGGAACCTGTTATTTATATAGTGACTCTGAGAGAAAAATGGAAATCTATATAATTATATAATATAAAGTATATTATAAAGTATACAGAATATAAAGTATAATATATGGTAGGTATTATATTTGTGTATTGTAATATATGTGTAATGTAACTATAATATATATAAAGTATAATATAAAGTATATATTATACTTCCTTGTAATTCATTGTGTCCTTAACTGTTTATTTCTGGCTTAAATAAAATTACACAGAAAACAAAGCCAACATCTGATCGAACAAAGAACACACCTGTAAAATCAGAGAAGAAAAAAGACAAAGGAAAATCTGAGGAATCAGAAGAGTAAGACGTAAAGATATATGTTAATCTTTTTCTTTTTTGTGAATTTTCATTTGTATTCATAAAAACATAACTTTACAATAGGTACTTTAAAAACAACATTAACAAATATATAGTTTTATAAACAGACTAGGATATGATTTGGGGAGAAATCTGATAAGGGAAGAGCAAAGAACCAAAAAATGAGTTGGGGGAACAAACTACAAGATGTTCAGGAACAGGTAAACAGAATTAAATCTGTAAATAATTATAGAGAAAAAAGGGCTTAACATTGTTTTCTTGATGGTGTAACTAATGATTTGTAATTTGTTTTTAATGCCCCCAATCTAGGCTGTTCTTTTTTACTGTACTGTTTCATTGTACTTATTTTTTTATAAAGTCACCTATTTTTAATGTATATCGTTTATTGTAAGGCAGCTTTATTATTTTCTTTAGTGTTATTAAATATTTTTTGCATTTTTAATTTGCTTAGTCAAAGCCTAACATAAAAATATAGTTTTAAAAAGAAACTATCACTGCAATCTTTATATAGTTCCATAATCGTTGATCAAATTGCTTTAACTTTTGACTTAAAGATGAAGAGATGATTAATACTCTTTGAAAATCCTTACCCTATCTCAGTCTTTTCACATTTTTAAGTATTCCAAATGAGAAATTCAGTTGTCATTTAATCTGTATCGATTTTACAGCTTTTGAAAAATATTTACATGAATTTTTTTGAAAAGTCTCATTCTTTTAATGGTTTAAAGTCTTCCCCAAGAAAGCAAAGCATTTTAAAATATCATGATGCATTTTAAAACATTTATAATTATAGGAAGAAATCTATAGCCAAACAGCCAAAAACGAAAGATCTGCTTGAAGTCCAGGTAACTATATGTACGTCTATATTTGATTAATAAGTGCTCTGGTAATTTTATGTGTTGACAACATTAGTATGTATGTGAATATACGTATTCTGTGTGTGTGTGCGCGCATGTGCGTGTGTGCGCTAAAATTCCCCCTAAGATAGTTCTTTCTTTTTGGTCAAGTTTTCCTAGCAAGTTTCAGAAAATAAAATGATAAATCCAGACATGTTTACTGTCAAGGTTATGAAAATTACCAGTTTATTCAATTAGAGGCAATATTATGGAGGAAAAAAACATCCTATTGGGAGTCAGAACAGAGACTTACTACTTACATGGCTTTGGACAAGTCTCTTTAACCTATTTGAACTGCATATTTTTCCATCATTATAAAGGGTACAACAATAGCTGCCTTTTCTACTTCAAAAAAGTATGAGAAAAGTAAGAAGCAAAAGAGAAAAAATTTCATAAATTGTAAAATTATATAGCCTACTCTTTTTAGTATGTTCCAATGAAAGAAATACAAATAATCCAAGTTGTTTTATTTTGGTCTTGGAATCTCTCTCTCTCTCTTTTTTTTTTTTGTACTTTAGATGAAGGTTTACAGAGCAAATTAGGATCTCATTAAATAATTAATATATATATTGTTTTGTGACATTGGTTGCCAACCCCACGACATGTCAACCCTCACCCCTTGATGACCTTGGGTTCCCCGTTACCAGCTTTCCTGTGCCCTCCTACATTCTCATCCCTGCCCCTAAGCTGTTGTTCCCATTTGGTCTCGTTTTGTTTTATGGGCTTGTCTAATCTTTGGCTGAAGGGTAAACTGCAGGAGTGACTTCATTACTGAGTTAAAAGGGTGTCCAGGGGCCATATCTTGGGTTTTTTCCAGTGTCTGTCAGACCAATAAATCTGGTCTCTTTTTTATGAGTTAGACCTTTGTTCTACAGTTTTCTTCAGCTCTGTCTGGGACCCTCTATGGTGATCCCTGTCAGAGCAGTCGGTGGTAACCGGGCACCATCTAGTTGTGGTGGACTCAGTCTGGTGGAGGCTGTGGTAGTTGTGGTCCATTAGTCCTTTGAACTAATCTTTCCCTTGTGTCTTTGGTTTTCTTCATTCTTCTTTGCTCCAGATGGGGTGAGATCAGTGGAGTATCTTAGATTGTTGCTCACAAGCTTTTAAGACCCCAGACGGTACTCACCAAAGTAGGATATAGAACGTTTTCTGTATAAACGATGTTATGCCAATTGAGCTAGATGTCCCCCAAGACTATGGTCCCCAACCCTGAGCCCAGTAATTCAGTCCCTCAGGGAGTTTGAATGTGTCTATGAAGCTTCCATGACCTTGTCTTGGTCAAGTTGTGTTTCTATCTTTTTGCTAATGAATAATGATGCAGTAAACATGAGTGTGCATATGTCTATTTGTGTGATGGCTTTTATTTCTCTATGGTATATTCCTAGGAGTGGAATTGTTGGATACTATGGTATTTCTATTTCTAGCTTTTTAAGGAAGCGCCATATCGTTTTCCAAAATGGTTGTACCATTTTACATTCCCACCAGCAATGCATAAGTGTTCCAGTCTCCCTGCAGCCTCTCCAGCATTTGTTATTTTCTTTTTTTTGATTCATTGCAGTAATGTTGAGATAAGATGATATCTCATTGTAGTTTTGATTTGCATTTCTCTAATGGCTAGTGATATTGAGTGTTTCCTCATGTGTCTGTTAGCTGCCTGAATGTCATCTTTGGTGAAGTGTCTGTTCATATCCTTTGCCCATTTTTTAATTGGATTATTTCTTTTTGTTGTAGAGGTGTTGAATTTTCCTATAGGTTTTAGATATTAGATATTTATTGGATTTGTCATAGCAAAAATTTGTTCCCAGTCGGTACATTCTCTTTTTACTCTTTTGATGGAGTCTTTTGATGAGCACAAGTGTTTAATTTTAAGAAGATCCCAGTTATCTAGCTTATCTTCTGGTGTTTGTGTAGTGTTAGTTTTGGTTTGTATGCTATTTATGCCGTGCATTAAGGCCTGTAGTATTGACCCTATATTTTCTTCTATGATCTTTATAGTTTTTGGTTTTATATTTAGGTCTTTGATCCATTTTGAATTAGTTTTTGTGTATGGTGTATGGTATGGATCCTGTTTCATTTTTTTTTTTTTTACAAATGGACATCCAGTTTTGCCAGCACTGTTTGTTAAAAAGACTGTCTTTTCCCCATTTGATGGGCTTTGGTCCTTTGTTGAAGATCAGGTGACTGTAGGTAAATGGATTTACATCTGGGTTCTTAGTTCTGTTCTGTTGGTCATGTATTTGTCATTGTACCAGTACCAGGCTTTTTTGACTACTGTAGCTGTATGGTAGGTTCTGAGGTCAGGTAATGCGAGTCCTCCTGCTTTATTCTTTTTCTTCAATAGTGCTTTAATTATCTGGGGCCTCTTTCCTTTCCATATAAAGGTAATGATTAGTTTTTCCATCTTGTTAAAGAATGATTTTGGAATTTGAATTGGTATTGCATTGTATTTGTAGATTGCTTTGGGCAGAAATGACATTGTCACAATGTTGAGTCTACCTATGAATGAGCATGGTATGTTCTTCCATTTATGTAGGTCTCTTTTGGTTTCTTGTAGTAGTGTTTTCTAGTTTTATTTGTATAGGTCTTTTACATCTCTGGTTTGATTTATTCTTAAGTATTTTTTTTTTTAGAGGCTATTATAAATGATGTTGCTTTCTTGATTTCTTTTTCGTTCTCTTTATTGGTGTATAGGAATCCAACTGATTTTTGTATGTTTATCTTATATCCTACTACTCTGCCGAATCTTTCTATTAGCTCCAGTAGTTTTCTTGTGGAGTCCTTTGGATTCTCTATGTATAATATCTTAGTGTCATCAAATATGGATAGTTTTACTTCTTCCTTATCAATTTTGATGCCCTTTATTTCTTTTTCTTGCCTTATTGCTCTAGCTAGGACTTCCACCACAATATTAAACAGGAATGGTGATAAAGGGCATCTTTGCCTTGTTCCTGTTCTCAAGGGGAGTGTTTTCAGCCTCTCTCCATTAAGAATGTTGTTGGCTGTTGGTTTTGTATAGATGCCCTTTATTATGTTGAGGAATTTCCCTTCTATACCTATTTTAATGAGAGTTTTTATCAGGAATGTATCATCAAATGCCTTTTCTTTATCGATTGAGATGATCATGTGATTCTTTTCTTTAGTGTATGTGGTGGTTGATTGATTTTGATTGATTTTCTAGTGTTGAACCGTCCTTGGATACCTCGTATGAATTCTTCTTAGTCATGGTCTATTATTTTTTTTTGATATGATGCTGAATTCTGTTGGCTAGAATTTTGTTGAGAATTTTTGCATCTGTGTTCATGAGAGATATTGGTGTGTAATTTTGTTTTTTTGTGTTGTTTGCCTGGTTTTGGTGTCAGTGTTACGCTGGCTTCATAGAATGAATTTGGAAGTATCCCTTCCTTTTCTATGTTCTGAAATAATTTGAATAGTACTGGTGCAAGCTTTTCTCTGAATGTTTGGTAGAATTCTTCAGTGAAGCCATCTGGGCCAGAGTTTTTTTTTTTGTTGTTGTTGGGAGATTTTTTGTTACATTTTCAATCTCTTCTCTTGTTTTGAGTCTGTTGACATTTTTGAACTCAGTTTGTGCTAGTTTAGGTAGGTAGTGTGTTTCTAGAAATTTGTTCATTTCCTGTAGGTTTTCAAATTTGTTATAGTTTTCCTAGTATTCTGTAATGATCCTTTTTATTTCAGTTGGGTCTGTTGTAATATCCCGCATTTTGTTTCTTATTTGGGTTATTTGTGTCCTCTCTTGTTTTTCTTTTGTCAGTTTGGCCAGTGGTTTGTGGATTTTGTTGATGCTTTGAAAGAACCAACTTTTGGTTTTGTTGATTCTGTCTCTTGTTTTTCTGTTCTCTATTTCATTTATTTCTGCTCTGACCTTTATTCTTTGCTTTTTTCTGGTGGCCGGGGGTTTCTTTTGCTGTTCTCTTTCTGTTTGTTTGAGTTGTATAGCTACTGTTTTGATTTTGTCCCTTTCCTCTTTTTGGATGCGTGAGTCACTTGTTATAATTTGACCTCTGAGCACTGCCTTTGCTGTGTCCCAGAGGTTTTGATATGATATGTTTTCATTCTTGTTTGATTCTAGGAAATTTTTTATTTCATCTGTGATTTCTTCTATTACCTAGTGGTTTTTAAGCAAGGTGTTATTCAGTTTCCATGAATTTAATTTTTTTCCCTGCTCTTCCTGTTATTAATTTCTACTTCCATAGTGTTGTGAGCATAGAAGATACTTTGTAGTATCTCAGTGTTTTGGATTTTGTTGAGGGTTGCTTTGTGGCCTAAAATGTGGTCTATTATGGAGAACGTTCCATGGGTGTTGGAAAAGAATGTGTACTTTGCAGCTGATGGGTGGTGTGTTCTACATATGTCTATGAGGTCAAGTTGGCTGATTCTGCCCTTTAGGTCTTATGTATGTTTGTTGAATTTCTTTCTAGATGTTCTGTCCTTTACCGAGAGTGGTGTGTTGAAATCTCCTACTATTGTTGTGAACTGTCAATTTCTCTTTTCAGTGCTGTTAGAATTTTTTTAAAATGTATTTTGGAGCCCTGTCATTGGGTACATAGATGTTTATTATGGTTATGTCTTCCCCTGTTCTGGAACTCTGATCACATGCAGATTTTTACTTTTGACTGTGGCCCACATTGTGTTCAGGGTTTCTTCATTTTTCTTCATTCTTTTCTCTGACTGTTCCTCAAAGAAAGTGGCCCAAGAATTTGTTTTCAATTTTGCTAATCCTGTCTTCTGTTGTTTCACATTTGCTCCTAAAACTTTCTATTGCATTGTTTGTTTCTGAAATCTTTTTATCTTTTGGATTCCTAATTGATATTTTTTGTGTGATTTCTAGTTGTTTATTTTGACATTTTGTTCCTGTATTATTTTCCTGAATTCTTCCATTGTTTTATCTGTCTGTTCTATTATTTTGTCTTTATTTTTCATGATTTTGTCTA